CCCCCTTCCCTCTGGCAATCACCACACTGCTGTTTGTGTTCATACTTCTGTCTTGGAGCTTAGGAAATACAACAATTGGTATTACAGTTGCTGACTATATAGCAGGTGGGCTGGGAGCGCTGGATCTTCCAGGCCAGCTGCCACCCCACCCCAAGGGTCGCTAACCTTTATCCTGCACCCATGGTTCAGGAACAAACTTGCCTTTTTCCTTTCTTTTTTTTTTTTTTTCGTTACTCCTTCCCAAGGGGAAATAAGCCTTATTACTTGTTTCTTTTCATCTTTTTGCTTGGTTTGGTTTTTAAAGTTAACATTCCTTGAAGATGGCATAAATGATTTCCATAGCACCTGGAAATCATGGTGCTTTGTGCGGAGTGCCTTGAAATACTGATAAATTTAATTCCATTGTGTGAAATAGGAACACTTTTGTTAGCAGGAAAGCCGACTCTATTATATGTGCATTATGTTTCAGTCACAACCGAAACACAGGCTGTCAAGCTCATCAGCCCTCCAACTGCCTCTGAGCCGCTGCCCCCATTCCTCAGGGACAGCACCGCCGGCGCCCAGACCCAATGGGGAGAGGCAGAGTTATCCTCAACAGCTCCCTCCCTGCTTGGCCTCAGTGCCCTCACCCCATCTACCCGTGACCAAATGCCATGACTCGGCCTCCAGGTTGGCTCCTGAAGCGGAACACTTCTCTGCAGTCTCATCCCCACTGTTTCACCTGGACCACCACTGCTCTTAGCTGAGTTATAGCCACACCTCCCTTCCCTCCACGCTCTCCTCGACATGCAGCAGCCCTGACCTCTAACGTACTGGACAGCCCTCTGCACCCGACCTTTCAGGAGCTCCCACGCTGACAAGGCCAGGTCTGGCCCATAAATGGCTCTCCAGTGTAATTTTCCCCAGTGTCACTGTCAGACCCTACCCTTGCAGCCAACAGAATTATCTGCCATTTGGCACTGTGTTGTGTTCTCTGTGGCTGGAACTGTTTCAGTCACAACCGAAACACAGGCTGTCAAGCTCATCAGCCCTCCAACTGCCTCTGAGCCGCTGCCCCCATTCCTCAGGGACAGCACCGCCGGCGCCCAGACCCAATGGGGAGAGGCAGAGTTATCCTCAACAGCTCCCTCCCTGCTTGGCCTCAGTGCCCTCACCCCATCTACCCGTGACCAAATGCCATGACTCGGCCTCCAGGTTGGCTCCTGAAGCGGAACACTTCTCTGCAGTCTCATCCCCACTCTTTCACCTGGACCACCACCTCTCTTAGCTGAGATATAGCCACACCTCACTTCCCTCCACGCCCTCCTCTACATGCAGCAGCCCTGACCTCTAACGTACCGCACAGCCCTCTGCACCCGACCTTTCAGGCGCTCCCACGCTGACAAGGCCAGGTCTGGCCCATGAATGGCCCTCCAGTGTAATTTTCCCCAGTGTCACTGTCAGACCCTACCCTTGCAGCCAACAGAATTATCTGCCATTTGGCACTGTGTTGTGTTCTCTGTGGCTGGAACATCTCCCCCACCCAGTTGTCTGGCTCAGTCCTCCTCCTACTTCATCTCAGATGATGCCTCTTTCAGGTCGTCTTTCCCCTCTGGGGTGGGGCACCCGTTCTTCAGTGCACATGTGCAGACCTATCATTTCTTGTTGGGGTTCCTGCAACAGCCTCTCAGCTGGTGTCCTGCCACCTTACTTGGCCCACCCTTCCATTCTCTACACAGCAGTCAGCATCTTCTCTCTGATCATGTTGTTTCTGCTGCCATTAGGCTCAAGTCTAAACCCCTTTAAGGCCCCTATAGTATGACCTTAAGGCTCCCTATGATTCTGTATGATCTCACCTATTACAACCTCCCCAGTTTAACTCATTCCAAGTCCCTTCATGCTTCAGCTAGTCCCAGTCTCTTTCCGGGCCTCCACCCTGACACCTGCTCTCTAGCTCTGTCCACTGACTCCTATGTCTGGACCCTCCCCTGACTCCAACTCTTTACCTGGCTAATTCCTACACACCTTCAGGTGTCTGTTTAACATCACTTCCTCTGGAAAGCCTTTGTTAAATCTCTAGACTAGGCTAGATATCTCTCCCCCATTCCATTTCCTAGAGCCGACCACTCACAGATTTAATTGCGTGATTAATTGGCCATTGTTTCTTTTAGACTGTTAGCTGGAGAGCCATGTATATTTTGCTCCTGCCTATGTTTCTAGTACTATGTAGAGCAATGCTCCATAAATATTGACAGAAGCAAAGATGAAGGGATGCATATTTCTATTCCTACCATTAGAAGCTGGGACTCCTCACTAACTTGCCGTAGGTGTGTGCTGCATGGGGTGCGCTTCATATGTGTTTGTTGAATAAATGAATAATGAATGGCCAGCTCTTCTCAAGCTCATTTATGTTATTATACGACTTTTTTTAAAAAATATGTTTTATTGATTTTTTACAGGGAGAAATGGAGAGAGATAGAGAGTTAGAAACATCGATGAGAGAGAAACATCGATCAGCTGCCTCCTGCACATCTCCTACTGGGGATGTGCCCGCAACCCAGGTACATGCCCTTGACCGGAATCGAACCTGGGACCTTTCAGTCCGCAGGCCGATGCTCTATCCACTGAGCCAAACCAGTTTCAGCTATTATACTTCTTCAAAAATTATATTGCTCATTTATTTTACCATCTTGAAGATGGTAAGCAGATGGTAAAGAACTTGCTAGCAGAGTAGTGGCAGCAGGCCACCATGTTTTAAGAAAATTGTTGGATACAAAACTTAACATTCTGAGGCAGAATAATTTCTCTATTAACTTCCAATGGTTGGTTTTAGCTCCAGAGTCCTCCCTGGGAGGCGGCCTGCTTTGGGAGGGCCTCCCACTCATTCCCTGTGTCCATTTCTCCAGTCAGAGCTTGGCCACCCGGTGGCCCTGCTGCCCCAATGGATCCACTGAACCTGTCCTGGTACGATGACGACCTGGAGAGCCAGAACTGGAGCCGGCCCTTCAACGGGTCTGCGGGGAAGGCCGACAAGCCCCCCTACAACTACTATGCCACGCTGCTCACCCTGCTCATCTTCATCATCGTCTTTGGCAATGTGCTGGTGTGCATGGCCGTGTCCCGCGAGAAGGCACTGCAGACCACCACCAACTACCTGATCGTCAGCCTCGCCGTCGCTGACCTCCTCGTAGCCACGCTCGTCATGCCCTGGGTGGTCTACCTGGAGGTAGGTCTGGGCCCTGCCTCACCCAGCACCTTCTCCAGAGAACACCGTGCTGGGGCCGCCAGTCCAAGCTCCTCACTGCTTTCTACCCACAGGTTGCCTGGTGCTTTCTCAGATTGTCTCCTCTCCACTCTGGCCTCAGTTTTTCTCTCAGGAAATGGGTAGATTGTCTTCTTAAAAATCCCAGTTACCAGTTGCAGAGTCCTTACTAAGTGCCAGACCTTGTGTTAAGTCCTTTGTACGCAGCGTTTTCCAATAGTGTCCTCATTTCGCCCCCGAGAGACCAAAGTATTATCACCATTTCACAGAAGTCAGGTGGCCTCTTGGTGGGCCCAGCTGGCACTGTGTCTGGCCCCCAGAATGTTCATCGGCCCAGCTGGAAATGGGAGCCATTGAGGAGAACCCCCAAGGATAGACATGTTCCTGCTTCCAGGCCTGAACTCTCCATTCCTCTTTCCTGCTTCAAAAGTGGGGGCTGCTGCTCTCCTCCTCCCTTCCCTCTCCCCCAAGTTTAAGGCCTCTGGGACCTGTCTGCAGCCCCTTCCTCAGGAAGGACCAGTCACCGCTGCTCGGCCAGGACAGAGCCCAGCTCTGTGCCTCAGGATAGTGAGTGGGCAGCCGGCTGTGGTCCAGGCACCGTGCCAGGCATGTTCAGACCCAGACTCCACAAATACTCATGCTGGTCCTGGGAGCCGATGCTGCTCTTCTCACTTTAGAGAGGAAACAGAAGCTTTGAGAAGGTGCCTGTCTTCACCCAGATCACGCAGCAAAAGGAGAAGCGCTGATAAGTCCCCAAGTGGACCCACCTCCCGGTGGATGCTTTCAGAGCTGGCGGGCAGATGTGGAAGGGCTTGGGGGCTGTGAGTGGGCACAAGCTGGGTCCTGCCCTTTTCTCCACCAGGGGTTCCGGGTGGAGTCTGGGTGCAGAGGAGTCTGACCAGGCGGTCAGGAAAGAGCCAGTGCTGGCCATTCACATGCCCGAGCTGTTTCCTTCCAGCCCTGGGCTAGAGAGGAGTTACCTGTGCCGGGGGCAAGCCCTTCTTTCAAAGAAAACATGAGCCCTTGGCAGGTTTGAGGGAGAGGAGGACATCAGAAGAAGAAGCTGAGAGGGTGAGGGGAGGGAGGAGGCCGGTCAAAGCGCACTCCTCTCCCAGGGGCCCCTGCGCTCCCTGTGGCCACCACACCATCATCCTTCAGCACAGTCCCAACAGGCTGGAGCTTCCTAAAGGGCCTGAGGGAGTGCTGAGCAAGAGCCCAAAGGGATCAAATGGAAGACAAAACAACACAGAAGATAGAGGTGCCACAGGCCAGGGTCATTCCTCCGCGACCCCAGTGTATGAGGCCTACAGACTCTGCTCATCGCGTCTGTAGTGGGTCCTGTCCCCGAGGAGCCCTCCTTACTTCACAGGCCTGTCCCCTCCTGCTCGCTCTCAGGGAGGCCCGGCCTCGGGCCACCCAGGAAAATGGCCTCCCTGTGTGTCAGTCTTCCTGTCTACAGAGGGGCGATAATAATAGTATCTCTCTCAGCACTGTTTGAGAATCGGATGGATTACTACAGAAAAGGTGCTTATCATGGAAGCGGCACGTAACCAGCATTGTATAAGAGTCAGCCGGGACAGTGGTATTCAAATGAAATGGCCATAGATATCAGCCCCTCCCCACAGAGGACCCACCTGTCCCAGGCCAGAGGCACCCTCTCCCAGTGTGAGGTGTGCTCTGCCCGGGGCTGTGGGCGTGCGCTCTGGGGCTTCAGACCCACCACCCCACCACACTCCACGGTAGGGCCAAATCTCTGCATGGGCTGTCCTGGGGCTCCTGGCAATCTCTGAGTCCCTGGACAGATGTTGAACATGCCTGTTCACCACTGTTTAAGGGAAAGCGCGGTGTTTCGGGGGTAAGGTGGAGAATGGCATCTCAGAGTCTCCTCCAAAACAAGTGCTGGACAGGGAGCCCTACTCACAGGACACAGTCTCAGCTACTTATTGTCCCTTGGTATTCAAATGAAATGGCCATAGATATCAGCCCCTCCTTACAGAGGACCCACCCACCCGTCCCAGGCGAGAGGCACCCTCTCCCAGAGGTATTCAAATGAAATGGCCATAGATATCAGCCCCTCCCCACAGAGGACCCACCTGTCCCAGGCCAGAGGCACCCTCTCCCAGTGTGAGGTGTGCTCTGCCCGGGGCTGTGGGCGTGCGCTCTGGGGCTTCAGACCCACCACCCCACCACACTCCACGGTAGGGCCAAATCTCTGCATGGGCTGTCCTGGGGCTCCTGGCAATCTCTGAGTCCCTGGACAGATATGTTGAACATGCCTGTTCACCACTGTTTAAGGGAAAGCGCGGTGTTTCGGGGGGCAGGATGGGGAATGGCATCTCAGAGTCTCCTCCAAAACAAGAGCTGGACAGGGAGCCCTACTCACAAGACATGGTATCAGCTACTTATTGTCCCTCGAGAACGTCCCAAGTAAAGTCTCACTCTATCCCAACATCCTGTCCAAGGATTCTTGCAACCACGTACTGCACCCTCTGTTGTCTGGAACTTTCCATCTCATCCCATTCCCAGTGGCTGTAAATGCCTCCAGCAGCCTGCCGTGTCAGTATATGTCTGATGTGGAACTGCCTGTGCCTTGTCTGTGCCACTCGGCGCATGGAAAGCACTCTGGGGTTGGAGTAGGAGGAGGACTAGGCTCCATTCCCGACGCGGCCGCTTTCCTGGAGGGCTCCCAAGGGAAGGGAGTGGCTGTCTACCCTGTCCCCTCTCCTCAGCCTCTGAGAGGGGCTCCCAGTGCGTGTTCCAGGTAAGCAGGTGACATTGAGAAGGGAGCAGACTCAGATCGCAGGGTTGGTTAGTCACTCATCCAACATGTGTGAGCAATTCTATGTCCTACCCCTGCTCGGGGTCCAACGCCCTGGCCTGCCATCAGCGAGGAGCATGAGGGCTGTTTCAGTGCAGTCTGGTGGACGTGACAATAGAGCTGTCCCCACAGGAGATGTGGGAACGCCGCAGGGGCATATGACTTGGCATGTGGGGACAAGGATGTGGTGCAGGAAGAAGGGATGCTGTCAGAGAATCATCCAGGGGAGGGAGCGGGACCTGCACTCCAGGCAGAGAAGAAAGTGTGCAGTGCTGTGCAGGGCGGTGCTGGAGGCTTTGAGGTGTGGCAGCCATGTCATTAGCTTTAGAGGCTTGCTGTCACATGCCACAGGTAGGAGTGTGCGTGTTCGGAACAGTGCCTGACACATAGTGAGTGCCTCATATGTGCTAGTCATTAGGATTTAGCCAGCCAGGTCAAGGCCCGTCCCGCAGGTCTCAGCTTCCTGTGAGCAAGAATCAGTGAGTGGTGGCCAATGGTGCAGAGAGGGGACCTGGGGTCCGGTCCTCTCTCTCTACTAAATCACCAGGCGACTTTGGACAAGTCCATTTTCCTGTTGGACCCCAATCAGAACCTTTGTGATTAGAACCTTTCCTTTCACACTTGGTTGATTTAGTCGTTTTTACGTAATTGTCTCCTCTGTGGACAAGCCTGACGGGCCTCCCAACACAGCGTAGGAGAGAGCACAGGCTATGCCACTAAGGATCTGCCTCTGCTCCCGGCTCCGCACCCGAGTGGTGAACTCAGCCCAGCTCCCTCCTCCATGACTGGACGGAAGCTACCCCTTTCCTAGGAGCCTTAAGAACAATTCATGAGCAAAGTACATGCCCGCAGTAGGTGTTCTAGAGACAATGGCTACCAACACATCCCCTGAGCGTCTGAGTCAGCTGCCCTGACTGCCTTCTCTGGCAGTTACTCCTGAAACTGGGAGGAAGGCCGCCCTAGTATCCTCCAGAGAGACCAGTGGGGGCAGGGAGCCCGAGCTCCGGGAGGCGGGGACTGGTCAGTCCTGTTCACCAGGGTCCCCGGAGTCCAGAGTCCAGCACCGAGCCTGGCACATGCTAAGGGTCTACAGGAAAGAAGGAAGTGGATGTGGAAGGTCCAGACTAGGTCCCAGGGACGTGAAAGCAGCCCCGAAATCCTAGTCCAGGAGAGGCTGCAGGTAGGGGGTGTGCACGTGGATAGGGAGGCCTGCAACTCTCCCAGCGATGCCAAAAGGTAGGCTCCGTTTATGCCAGGGAAGCCCTTCCATCCCCTCCTCCCCCTCAGGGCGTTCAGCCCCTGCCCACCTGGTCAGCGCTGCATCTGAGGCACAGGGACCCCTGTGCCCAGACCTGGGAGGGGCCCTGGAACGCGCCCTCCAAGAGCCTGAGAGAGGGCAGTGCCACCAGAGGCTTCCTGTCTCCACATTCACAGCAGCTGCACTGCCCGGCACCGAGCTTAAATGCCAGCATTTGGTTTCCTGCCTGACAGCAGAGAAGAGGGCAGCGCGGAGAAGGAGCAGGGTTATAATTAGCCCGCTGCGCTGTGAGCACAGCGTGGGTACTGCCCTGCCCGTGTCACCGTCACCAGAGCGGGCTTCCCTGCTCCTCTTTTCTCCTGTTGGTAGAGGCCCAGGTGCCTCTCCTGTCCTGACTGCGCAGGGACGGGGAGGGGGCTGCTCCAGACTTCAAAGCCTGCTGTGTGAGCGTGGGGACCTGCATATAAACGGAGGTGTGGGGTGTGGATGTGCAGGGGGGTATGGATGTGTGTGTGTGTGTGTGTGTGTGTGTAAGGGGGGGTATGAGTGTGTGCGGTGGGAGCAGGGGAGGGAGGCAGAATGCTCCTGCAAGTAGCTGGACTCCTCCTATCCCATCATTCTAAGCCTATATCCTTACAGCCCCTCCCCAGCCCACTCTGGGGCTCCTGACAGCCTAGCCCAGACTTCCCTTCCTTTATTCTCTAGGTATAACAAGGAGCAGAAATGTCGTCCTTGTTTCACCAGGTCATTGTCTTTGCCATTGATACTAGCAGACACTAATCGGGCCCCTACCCTGGGCCACACACCATTGTGGGCACTGAAGGAGCCACCTGGTCCCCCAGATACATGGGCCAGAGCAGGACCAGACGCTGAGCCGAGTGGCCTGGGCAAGTCACTCCCCTTTTCTGAGGCTTGGTCTCCTTGTTGGTAAAATGGGGGTCGCAGGTGATCACACAAATGTTTTACAGATAAAAAGTTGAAGCACCCTAACCAGTTTGGCTCAGTGGATAGAGCATCAGCCTGCGGACTGAAGGGCCCCAGGTTCCATTCCGGTCAAGGGCATGTACCTTGGTTTCGGGCACATCCCTAGTAGGGGGTGTGCAGGAGGCAGCTGATTGATGTTTCTAACTCTCTATCCCTCTCCCTTCCTCTCTGTAAAAAAATCAATAAAATATATTTTTTTAAAAAGTTGAAGCACTCAGTGTAGGTTGGTCATCTTTCTTCTAGCACAGTTCTTGGCACAAAGTGACTTTATGTGTCTAGGAGAGGGGCCAGGGCCAAGGGCCTTGGACATCATGGGCATGACTCCCTTTGTTGCCCCTCTTCCTGCCCACATCCCAGGCAGAGACTACAGAACCCCCAGCTGCTGTCTGTGCCGTGGAGAGCCGGCTACCGAGCCCGAGCGAATCTCCCTCTTCTGTCACCATCATGTTGCTTTGTCCGCAGGTGGTGGGCGAGTGGAGATTCAGCAGGATTCACTGTGACATCTTTGTCACTCTGGACGTCATGATGTGCACAGCAAGCATCCTGAACCTGTGTGCCATCAGCATCGACAGGTAAGCCCAGGCCTTCCACCTTTCAGGCTGCCCCACCTCGCCTTCAGAGTCAGGCTCTATGATGCCATGTGGCTGGCTTTGTGCCTGTGAGTCAGTGTGTTTGTGTGCATGTGTGCCTATGTGTAGATGTGTGTGTATACACACAAGCACATATGTGTAGGTGCATGCGTGTGTGACTAGGAAAGTACGTCTTATGGACAGTGATGCTGCTAAGACTACAGCCTGGTACATGGGAGGAAGCAGTTGATTCTGACTGGAGCCCCAGTTCTATCACTTTCTACTTGAGTAACCTTGGGCGGATTATGGAGGTTCTCAGAACACTACTTTCATTGTCCAGACACAAGGATGACGATGCCTACCCATTGAAGGTCTGATGTCTGCTTACGCATTGATGTCCAGCACAGGGCACGTGCCCGGGGGCCCAGGCTCTGCTCACCTTGCTGAGCTGTATCTGTGGAGCCTTTCACTGATTCGTACACACAGGCCACTTGGGCTCCCAAAGGCCCCGCCCCTACTTCCTTTGGAAGATGAAACGAGCTAATTCCTCTACCCAGCACTTCCTGTACTGGGTAGAGGAAGATGAGGGTTCATACATGATTCCTGTTGTTATTGTTTCTGCTGAATGGGCTTAACCCTTGCTCTAGGGCAGTGGTTGGCAAACTCATTAGTCAACAGAGCCAAATATGAACAGTACAACGATTGAAATTTCTTTTGAGAGCCAAATTGTTTAAACTTAAACTATATAGGTAGGTACATTGTTATTAGCTTAATTAGGGTACTCGTACGGCTTAGGAAGAGCCACACTCAAGGGGCCAAAGAGCTGCATGTGGCTCGTGAGCCCCAGTTTGCCGACCACGGCTCTAGGGTTCTGGCTACCAGTCCATCAACAAACACTTCCACCTCTAGTGGGCTCAGCACAGGTGGAGTAGGTAGGGTTTCAAAGGCACAAAGACCCAGGCCATGAGATCCAAGTGGCGGGACTGGGATAAAATATGGCCCAGGATTATTGGTAGCCAGTTAGTCATCAAGCAGTCAGTTGGGCAGCAACATTGTCCTCGCTGTCTGAACTGGGGACAAGAAGGAGGATTGATTTTAGAGCAAATAGGTGGGCTTCATGGAGGGGAACCAGCTGTCCATCCCCAAAGAGTGGGTGTCTCTGGTTGTGCATGTTGTGGAGTGAGGGGTCCCCCCCGCTGATTCCCTTGCAGGTACACGGCTGTGGCCATGCCCATGCTCTACAACACGCGCTACAGCTCCAAACGCCGAGTCACCGTCATGATTGCCATCGTCTGGGTCCTGTCCTTCACCATCTCCTGTCCGATGCTCTTTGGACTCAACAACACAGGTGAGCCCTGCCTCTGCCTGCCAAGGGCTCAGCTGGCCTCAGTGCAGGATCCCGTGAGAGCTGAGTCCCCCGCACAGACGTGATGGAGACCCATGGGGGCCTGATTGCCGCTCTGGACTAAGGCCAGGGTGGACCTCCTGGGCCAAGCCTGACTCCATGTGCTTCCTGTTTGGGCCAGAAAGGAGTAATGAATGGCCTGGGGCACAGTGGAGTTGGGTGAGGGGTGGGAATAATGATTCAGGAGGATGTCTGGCCATTTTCAACTTTGTTTATTAGACATAAGCAGGACAGATAGCCTCACAGATTGCATGTGTGTTCCTGTTGCATGTGTGCGCACACTTGGGGAGGCTACTGGGCCTCATCGCTCCTGGCGATGGTATTTGTGTAGTGAGGCTGCAGCCCCAGGGCCAGCTGAGCTCAGGCCAGGCCTTGGCCCGCTGGGGCAGGAAAGGTAGAAACAAGCTGGAGGCTGGCACACCATGGCCTGCCCTTCTCAAGGCAGCTGGAGCATCTCAGGCAGAAGAGGCACCGTGCCTGCCTGCTGGTGTGGCCTCGAGCTCACTCTCGTCAGGGAGGCAAGAGCAATGCGGGGGTGCCTCTGGAGACCACTGCAGGGCAATAGTGCACAATGAAGCCGTGAAATGTTGGTACAAAGCTAACTCTTGGGGGAATTGCAAGAAGCGGGAACAGGCCTCAATATGTTCGGATTAATCTGGAGAGGCCCTGAGATAGCGGACAGACATCTACTAGACCTGGAGGGAGCTTGGGGACACAGGTGAGTTCAGCAAACAGAACCCAGTGACCTTGCCCCTAAAATTAAAAGGTTCCAGACCTCCCCCCACCCCAGCATACAGGAAAGGCTAAAATAATAGCTTACTCTCTTAAAATAAATTTATTTGGGCATTTTTCCCAAACATCCTGGCTCCACTTGTGTGCTCATAGGTGGCAGAACTAATGCCGGTGTAGTAAGGGAATATTTAATGGAAAAACTTGGAAGCGGTCGATCACAGCTTAGCTTTTTGCTCACGGTTGTTTAATGCTCTGACTTAGGCTGTGCATTTGCTTGCATCTAGCCCTTCCAGGCCACCGTAGAAGTCTAGTATAGTCTCTGCACCTGTGCCCTGCCCCTTTGGTGGAGGGGCCACGCTCTGGCCCCTGGGCCTGCTGACCCACCCTCCTGGTGCTCTCCCTCCTCCAGAACAGAGCGAGTGCATCATCGCCAACCCCGCCTTCGTGGTCTACTCCTCCGTCGTCTCCTTCTACGTGCCCTTCATCGTCACCCTGCTGGTCTACATCAAGATCTACGTAGTCCTCCGGAGGCGCCGGAAGCGGGTCAACACCAAGCGCAGCAGCCGGGCTTTCAGGGCCAACCTGAAGGCCCCACTCAAGGTCCCAAGATCCCCCTCCCCTCCAAGGTCCCCACTTAACCATCACTGAGGTGGGTCATCTAGTGCTCAGTGGGGACCTGGGACACCACAGCAGGAGGGAGTCCAGGATGGGGAGCTCTGAGCAGGCTTGGACCTCAAAGGCTTGGACCTCAGTGAAGGGACTTGGATCTCCAGGAGTGGGAGGTGGGAGGGTGGAGGGGATGACCTGGGAGAAGTCGTTGCTTGGAGATCTTTATGTGAACACAGCAACCCTTGGCACCCTCCTGGGCTCCTCTCCTCCTCTTTTCTTCACTTCTCCTTTCCTCACTCTGATCCCTCTGTCTCCCTTTCCCTCCCTCGGATATCTCCATCCCATCTCCTTACTTCCCACACTCTCCCTCCTCCCTTCTGCACACAACTCCTCCTTCCTCCCCCGCTGTTGCCTACTTCTCCACTCTGTCTCCCTCTAACCGCCCTTCCCCCATTTCTTGTGAATTCTCTCTGCTCAGCCCTCCCCGAGGAAGACAGTAAGTGGGCATGGAAGGAACAAGAGCTTTGGGGTTAGACACATCAGGTTCAAATCCTGGCACTGCCACTTTTGTTGAGTGACTTTGGGCAACTTGCTTAACTTCTCTAAGCCTCTGTTTCCTCATCTGTCAAGTGGGACTCATAATACCGACCTCACAGGGATGTCTTGAGGATTCAGTGTGAGAGAGATGTGAGCCTGCCTAGCATGGTGCCAGACCCTTGGCAGGTGCTCCATAAAGTCAGGGCTCGTTTGTCCCTTGTCCTGCCCACCTCTTGCCTCCTGACTTCGATTGCTTCTTCAGGCCCCTAGCCTCCTGCTCCCTGCCCTCCTCTGAGCCCCTGTGCCCAGCCTGACTACCCAGCACTGGGTCTCTGTGCCCGCCCTCCTCCCCGTGATGACCAGTGTGCTGGCTCACTCCACAGGGCAGCTGCACTCACCCCGAGGACATGAAACTCTGCACCGTTATCATGAAGTCTAATGGCAGTTTCCCTGTGAACAGGCGAAGATTGGTAAGTGTTTAGGCCAGAACCCACAGCCAGGTCTGCCCACCTCTAGGGAAACCCACCTGCCATGATTCTCAGAAACCTCCCCAACTGCTCAAAGGGATAAGCACCTCCTTGGCTCCCTCAAGGAAGGAGGCCCGACTCACCACACACACCTCACTACAGGCAGGGGCAGGGCAGCTCAAGTCTGCAAGGCCCAGAGAGGTCTCCTAACACAAGAAAATGTTTGGGAGAAAGGACTTGGCCTTAATAACAAGATAATAATAAGAAGAAGAATGACTATTGCCATTCATTGAACACCTACCATATTCCTATTATCTCATCAAATCCTCACAGCAACCCTGGGAGGTAAGTCTTATTGGTCACGTCCACCTTCGTTTTGCAGAAGAGGAAACAGAGGCTCAGAGAGGTTGGGTAACTCCCCCAAAGCTGAGTAGTTAGTGAGAGAGCACATAACCAAACCCAGACTCCTGTGACTCTGAAATCCACGCCTCTGCTGTGCTTTGCGCTTGCGTGAGCTGCCCAGGTTCTGGGGCTGGAGATTGGGCGTGCGCTGGGGGAGGAGGTAGCCATAGGGCTGGTGTGAAGTGCGGCCTCTAAGGAGAGCCCAGAGGTGCAGAACCACAGCAAACCCCAGTGGTAGTAGCACCAGGGTCCAAGCAGCAGGTGTCTCCTTCCCCGGTGGTGCAGGGAACCCACCGAGGGCCACATGTGGAGTCCAGGCCAGGTGTCCTCAGGGAGCAGGGCCCCCACCATTTACCTGCACAGCAAGAGCAGGACTCAGAGGAGCCGTTTAGGAGGGACGCAGGATGGGGCCAAGGTAGTGTCCCAGCTATACCACCTGGGCGTACAGAGAGGCTGCATTTCAGCAGTTCAGGCTGAGAACCTGAGGCCTAGAACAAGGGAACCTAAGGGAGAACCTGGGAGGCCCTCCAGACCAGCCCAGCAGGGAGGGTGTGGGGGCCCAAGAGAAATGGAGCCATGTGAGTGCTGCTGCAGGTGCTGCAGGTGAGCCTGCAGGGAGAACAGCAGTGCCCTCTATGCAGTTTGAGCATGAGCTCCTGGGGGGAGGCCCTGGACAGCAATTTATCCCCAGCAGCCAGCTCAGCACCCTGCACTTAGCTGGTGCTCAGTAAACATTTCTCAGTGAATAAAAGAGAATTGCCTGGGTAGTAACCCCACCCCAAATTGTTATGGGGTTACCGAGGACATATAAGGATTGCTCTGGGATAGGGGCCCAGATGACCGCACCGGCAGGGACTGCTGTGGGTCCTGGGTCCTGTACCCAGACAGCCCTGTCTCTGGGTGATTGTCCTTCTTGACTCTCTGTGACCTGTGGTGTTGGCAGACATCTGAAGAGGGAGGTAGGGAGGAGCCGGGAGGCCTGTCGAGGCCAGCTGGGGCCAGGTAGGCCAGGTGCGGCTGGGTGGCTCCTGCTTGAGACTTGCCTAGCTTTACCCGAGCTCTCTGCCTGGTGCAGGAGGCTGCGCGCCGAGCCCAGGAGCTGGAGATGGAGATGCTCTCCAGCACCAGCCCACCCGAGAGGACCCGGTACAGCCCCATCCCGCCCAGCCACCACCAGCTGACCCTCCCCGATGCGTCCCACCACAGCCTCCACGGCACTCCTGACAGCTCCGCCAAACCCGAGAAGAATGGGCATGCCAAAGACCACCCCAAGATTGCCAAGATCTTTGAGATCCAGTCCATGCCCAATGGCAAAACCCGGACCTCGCTTAAGACCCTGAGCCGCAGGAAGCTCTCGCAGCAGAAGGAGAGGAAAGCCACCCAGATGCTGGCCATCGTGCTTGGTGAGTCGGCCCTGCTGCCGGCCACACCCAGCTCTGCCCATCCCTGGCCCAGGGAGGGGTTCCTTACTGCAGGTTCCATTACCTGCCACCCTCTTCCCAGCCAGCATTGGCGAGTCGTGGGACTGGCACTTTCTCAGGCCCAGGCCAAGCCTGTGGATGCATCCTATTAGGTAGACTCCATAATTATGCTCAGCTTACAGATGGGGCAATTGAGGTTCAGGATGGTCCTATAAGTTGACCAACGAGGACCCACAATTAAACTTAGGGAGTCTGACTCAAGAGCATGTGAACTTGACCAGTCTACCATCATAACCCAGAACCTCATAACCCCGGCAAGCCACTTCCCCTCTAGTCCCATCAGTCGAGTAGATTACTTCTCAAGGCTGTGTGGTCATCAATGGTAGATGGTGGGAAAAGCTGTTTATAAACTGTGCAACAGAGCACACAGGCGTTATCATTATGATCTTTATTAATATTGCTATTCCCGAGGAATTAGGAAACTCAGGCCCCCTGAGCTTAACCAAGACCCGAAGGGACCAGAGTTGTAAATAATTTAAAGAAGGGATGTGAGAGAGCCCGATCCGAACGAGGGCATGGCTGTCAGCGGGTCCTGTCCGCAAGGCAATGCTTTCAAATGAAAGTCCCTTAGAAAACCAGATGCTAAAGGTCAGAAATCTGGGTGGGACTGATGTGGGTGGCTGGGAACAGGAAGGACTGATGTGACCCTGTCCTCCAGGTAGCACCCGGCTAGTGTGTGACACCTCCACGCCCACCCGGGTAGTGTGTGCCACCTCCACGCCCACCGACAGCTCTGAGATGTGCGTGGGGCAGGTGTAACTATCCTCGTTTCACAAATGAGGGCACAGGGTCACAGCAGGTCGATCATGCTGCTGAGAGCGACTGAGCAGGGTTCAAGCTGGACCCTCTGCTACAGTCCACAGGGTCTCTGCCCAGCAGTCCTGCCTTCACAGGCACCTCTCCCTCTCAGGGACCCCAATGTCCCAGCAAAGTATCCTGTGCACACAATGCCTTGACACCCAGGATCCCACCCAAGCAAGTCGGCAGAGTGGGTGGGACGGACATCGGTCTGGGCTGGGGCCTGCAGCATGCAATCCAGGGGCTCACTGAGTGCAGGCCCTCCCAGCCAGCTTCCCCCTGCTCTGGGCCAACCTGACCCCACCCTCTCCCCCAGGCGTGTTCATCATCTGCTGGCTGCCCTTCTTCATCACACACATCCTGAACATTCACTGTGACTGCAACATCCCACCTGTCCTGTACAGCGCCTTCACGTGGCTGGGCTACGTCAACAGCGCCGTGAACCCCATCATCTACACGACCTTTAACATCGAGTTCCGCAAGGCCTTCATGAAGCTCCTGCACTGCTGACCCGCTGCCCACTTCCCTGCCAGGCGCCGGCTGCAGTCCCTAGGAGCCCTGGGCGGGAGGGTGTGGGGTGGACTTCCCTTTGCCTGGCAGGCCCTGTAGTGTTAGCTTGACACCACGCCCCACACTGTCGGAATACCCTCACTCTGCCAGGGCAGTGTAGAGAGCCAGGCGTGGTGCCAGCCCTTGGGCTGGACCCGGTGGCTCAGGGGCAGCTCTCAGAGCTCCCCTCCCACTTCCAGACCCTTCTCTTTGGCACCAAAGACAGGGCAGCCCGCTCTGGCCTTTCTCGGGAGCTGGTGTTGCAGGGGCCAGAGTCAGGCTCGAGGCTGGGCCCTCTGCTGGGCTCAGCCTGGTCCCCACAGGTTTGTGCTGGAGGGGACGGTGGGGAGACATGGACGCTTCATAGCCCACGAGGCCCACACCAGGGCTCTTGCCAAGGCCCCAGCTAACCTCCTTCTGGGAAGACCCATGTAAATACCAGACCACAGAATGAACCCCAGGGAAGCCCAAGCCAAAAGTCTTCACTCTCCTGCCCGACAGGAGCCTCTACTTCCCTCAGAGACCACCCCTCAGCTCACCCTGCCGCCTCCTGATGGACTCAGGTGAACTTCTTGTAGCAAATGTTAGGCCAGCCTGGGGCAGAGGGTGAAGATGGCTGGGACTATGTCTGGGGCCTGGATGGGGGTGTCTGAGGTTCTTTGGGGGCTGCCTCCTGCCATACTATGCCACAAACCCACTTTCCTTTTCCTTAGCCTCTTCTCTTTTCCCTCCCCCTTCCCTCCCACTGCGGGGGCCTCCGAGGAGCCCTGCTGAGGGAGGAGCCCTGGCCTGAGCTGGGGGAGCCCCCGGCCCCAGGCTCTGTAACATCACTACACATGCTCCACACCAATAAAACTTTGACAAGTCACCTGGCGGCCCCTTGGGGACGGGCACGGTGCCAATGGGCACGGCGCCACCTTGTCCTTCGCCTCAGAGGCAGCCAAGCCCCGTGTCTGTGCGGGGAGGGTGGAGAGGCACCCTGCACACCCTCCAGGAAAGGGCGGGGGAAAGAAGAAAGGAAGAGGCCCCAGGAGGACCAGGGAAATGTGTGTGCCTGTGTCTCCCCTCCTCCCGCCTTCTCCTCTCAAGCCGCTGAGTGCCCTTCGTCCTGCTACTGGGTGGCCCTGACCCTCAGCCATCAACCAAGATGAAGGCAAGAACATTTCCCGTGGGAATCCCAAGCACACCGTGGGCTCCCCTAACCGCCAGAGTGGCAGGGGCTGCCAGAGGGAAGCCAGGCTGTCCCCACATCCCGCTCCCCGGCTCCAGGGCCCAGCACCCCTGAAGGACCGATCCTCAGCGCTCTCGCCCCCTGGGGCAGAGGCTCCGTGGAGAAGGCGGCCTTCGCGGTGCCACTGTGCTGTGTCTGTCTGCCCCTTGCCCATCTTCCGTGTCACATCAGGGCCCTGTCTGTTTAGGGCAAGTTCAGGAAGCAGGGAGGCCCTGAAGGACGTGGCCTGGTCCCTCCCCTCTGCCTCCAATCCAATCACATCTCCAAGCCTTCTGGGGCCATGACCCGGCAAGAGAAACAACCCCGTGAAGGAGAAATATTCTCAACTTCTTGAGAATAACAGCAGTGATGACAAACAAGGAGCCGGCACCCACGGCCCAGCTCGGGAGCTGTCAGGGCATAATTTGCATGCGAAATGCAGTATTTTTAGCACCAAAGTTCGGAGCACTTAACTTGCCCTGAACACTTAATGATGGACTGGGATCTTCTCCTTGAACCTGAACGTGGCCCTGAGCTCTGGGAGAAGCTCCTGTCCCCAGGGGCACCCGGATCCCAGAGGTGGGCAAAACAGTCCCTCATCTTGCTGGGGGTTCGATAACCCAGTGCCCACCTTCTGGGGGAGGCACCAGACCCCCAAGGGGGCTAGAAGCGCCAAGGGCCTCTCAGCTGCTGACACCCACACCATAGCCAACACACCCACAGCACACGCTCACCCAAACCACACACTCAGTCTGCAAAAGGTCTTGACCTGGATGGAGATTAAAAGCTCATCTTGTCATTAGAAATGTTATGAGATCATATGGGTTTATCAGATGTGGTTATTGGAAGAGATGACAAAGGGAGGGAGAGAGGAAAATGGGAAGGAAGGAAGGGAGGGAGGGAGGAAATAAGGAAGGGAGAGAAGGAGGAAAGGACTGAGAGAAGGAGAGGGGAGGGAGGCTGCCTCAGAGCAGCTCGGGAGGGGCTGTGGCAGGGAGGAGAGGGGAATAGGGCAGGCATGGGCGGGAGGAGGGACGGGAAAGTGCCTACAGCTGTCATGCAGCTTCAAGTCTCTGCCAGACAGCAGATTGACAGCTAGAGTGGGCAGGGGGAGGGCTGGGCCCCACCCCTTCCCCCCTCAGTACTTCAGGGGCAAAGGAATGAGTGTGGGGCCCAGGAACGCCAAGGTGGAAGGGGGTGGCCCAGGTTCTGGCTCTTTCCCAGGAGGCCCTGACATGGCCCCTTTGCCTTGACAGCAAGGGCGGAAAGGAAGTCGGAGGCTGGGCAGGCTACCGACCTCTGACTCTCTCTTCTCTCTGCTTTCCCCTGTGCCTATCTTTTTTGTAGAATGACTTTTAGTCAAAGAAGCATCCATCTGCCTTGATAGCAGGTGCAGGCCCCCCACCTCCCCAAGAGCACGGCAGGAGGCGCTCCTAAGGAGCAGGCCTCTCTGCTCAGACGCGGCGGGGCACCCGCGTGTGTCCTCTCAGGTGCCCGCACGTGGCTGCGAGTCTTCAAAGCTTTGGCCCTTATTCTTCCCCTGGGGGGTCCTGAGGAGTCCCAGGTAGCCATGGGTGGGGAGATGTCCTGGGCATTGAGAAGGCAAATAGTGCAGGAAAAACTCTATCCCTTCATCCATCCATCCATCAATCCATCCATCCATCCATCCATCCATCCATCCATCCACCGAGCTGTTGTCTTAGCGAATGTTTATTGAGCCACGGTTGTGCTCCAGGCCCTGAGCAAGGTGCTGAGAATAAAATGGTGAAGAAGGTGGACAGGGTCCCTGCCTTCTCAAAGCTCACGGGACAGTGGACAATGGACGTGAATCACGAGGTAATGGCCAGAGCTCCTCATCCCCGGGCAGAGCTCTGGCTGGGTGTGGAGACCCAGCACCAGGGCACCGTTTACCGAGTGGCGACGATGCCGTGGGATGCAGCAGCCCCGTGGGCCTTGGCCTGGAGCAAGGAGGTAGGGAATTGGAGGACTTCGTGAATGGCAGATCAGGAGGCCCCGGAGAGAATCGACTGCTGACCCTGCTTCCTGTGACCTGCGGACAGGGGCAGCCAATTGCCAGCAACCAGGATGTGAGGACTGGCCTGCCTTGGGGACATTGGAAATGTGCCCACCTCTCTGATCCCTTCCCACACCACCCCTGTCCCAGGGATGCCTTGCCCAGCCTGTGGCCCACCGCCGCCCTGCCCTTCCAGCCCTAAGGCCCAGGCTGTGTCTGTGGCCTTGACTCCCGTCTAGGCAGGGCCATAGGGGGCCTGGCCCCACGTGACCCCCGTCCTCACACTCCCAGGGGACAGTCCATATACTCCCAGGACAGAGGGTGGTGGCCTGGGTGGCAGGCTGGCCTTTGAACCCAGTCTTCTGACTATTGTCTTACATTGTCCGTTCCACCCACTTCCTGACCAGCCCTGAGCAAAGTGGGAGGAGGCTTGTATGGACAGAGCATTTTTTAAAAGGGAGGTAGAGAAAGAAACCCATTCCGGACTAGGCTTTCAGGGGCCATCCTTGGGGTGCCTGTGACTAGCTGCTACAGCAAATGAGTGTGTGTGTGTGTGTGGGGGGGGTGCTTGGCAGGGGCACAGCGTCTAGTGTGGCTTCAGCAGCCAGAGGCGAGTCAGGGCACCCGTTCCTGAAGGTCTCTGCCAACCAGCTGCCCTGGCTCTGGTCCTGGGGTTCCGGGGAAGCAGAAGCTGGTGGTGAGAGAGCAGACCATCTTCCGAGGGGAGTCCCGCCCTGGCTTTTTAGGGCTCTGGGTCAGGGAGAAGCGGGGGGGTGATAAGAACACTTTCCCACTCCCTCTCCTACCCCAGCTCTGCCGTAAAGCTGGTGTGAGCTGCGGGCAGAGCATGCGGCCTGGAGGGCGGAGGGAGGGGCCTCACGTCCACCAGCAACGCTGCAGGGCCACGGCCCTTGTGTGGGCTCACTCCCGTCTGCACCCCTGGCTTCTGTCCCGAGACCTGGAGGTGTGTGGGGGGCCGGAGAGAGGGAGGCAGCCTACCTGGCATCTGGGAGCAGCTGCTGCTGGTGAAGTCAGGTACGGGGAGGGGCTGGGATTTGGTAGGAACAAGGCTCTGGCAGCAGACCTTCTGGGTTTTTCTGATGAGGCTCAACTCCAAACATTCCGCCCTGTCCGCCCCGTGAGAGCGTGGTCTGCGGAGGCCGGGCTCCGGGCCTCGTCCAGGGCTGGGAAAGTCTGGGGTGGGCAAGAGAGGGCGGAAACTGCGGGGAGGAGACACGTGCCAGGTCTAGTGCTGCTCTGTGACCCTGTGCCCGAAAGGCCGACCTGACCCAGCCCTGCTCCGCACCCAAGCGCAGGGTCCACCCCTCCCACAGCTTCTGTACTGCGGTGGACAACAGGAGGTTTACAGTGTGAGTACTTGAAACACAGGGTTTATTCTTGTATTATTATTTACTAATTATTGTATTATTTCCCATAGAAACAATTGTATGCCTATTTTTGCCCACCTCTGTATTACCTTCTGGCCCTCCTGCCGGCAGGCTGAGCCCTCACTGCTCTGCCCGGCTGAAGACCGAGTAGGGACCAACACCAGCCCTGGCCCCACCCTCCATGGTGGATGCAGACGTGGCTCCCCTGCTTTGCTGACACTAAGCCCACTGGCTGGCTTGTAGAGCTCAGGGTAATCCCATCTATGGATGGTCATTGAGGCTGCATGGCAGCGGGCACGGCCCACAGTGGGGATCCCCGCTCTGCAGCTGGCCTGATGCGCCTTGAGGTGTGTCCCAGGCGGTGTCAGTGCGGCTTGGTTCCTCCCCGGGGTGGGCCAGCAACGGAAAATAGCAGTGGCTCCTCTGAGCATCCGCCAAAAGGCTCCCAAAGGCTGGCTTGTCAGCGGCCCCCTCCAAGAGAAAAGTTCCTCTGACTTGGGAGAAACTGCAAGAAGTGAACATGTTGAGTGCTTGCTAACTACTCCCCCTTCTGACCCACAAGGCATCTGATTCTCCTGTGACCACCACCGGTGAGATAAGCAGCTGGCTGTGGCTGTGCACCAGGCTCAGAAAGTTCCAGCAACTTGAGGTCACCACTAGCAGGTGGCACAGCAGGATTGGCATCCAGGTCCACCTGTCTTCAAAGCCCATATCTCCCCACTTCCCAGGCCCCCAGAGCTTCCCTGCCCAGCCTCAGTCCAGCTTAGCCACTACCCTCTGTCTCTTACTTTACAGCAACAACCCCGCAGCCATAATCGGAGTCAGTAGGCTTGGATGGCATGCCTAGAGGGCTGGGATGCAGAAATAAACACAGGCAGGGACATGCTCATCCCGAGAGGGAAGGCGCTCTCTGACCCTCCCTGCGGGGGGGCGTAGATACAGAGTGACCCTCTCTAGCCAGCAGTCAGTGAAGGCTTCCTGGGTGGGGATAGGCACGTTGGATCTTGAAGAGAATGGACTGCACTGTGGATGCTTACATTTAACTCACTGGAGTGGAAAACGTGCTCCTTCAGTTGCACCAGCCACATTTCAAATGTTCACAGTGGCTGCCTCTTGAACAGCCTCAGACAGAGAGCATTTCCATCCTCCCAGGAAGTTCTGTGGGGCAGGCTGGTCTAGAAGAACTTCTAGGCTAGGAGTTTAGGTACCTTCCCCTAATGGGAGGGAGGAAGGGTGAGGAGCAGGCTGGTGGAGGGCGAGGGATGCTCAGTTTGGGCCACAGCGAGCTTACAAGGTTAATAGCACATCCAAGTGGAGGTTGAGGCGTTCCTATCCTCCTCAACCCCTATCGCCCTAAACAGGGTGTGCAATTCAACTGGACACCCTCTCCTTGGGAATTTCAAGGGCCTCACTAACATCCAATCCTAATCATCCCTAGGAAACTGCTAGGAGGCAGCCGTTGAAGTGGGTGCAGGGTGGATGCTACGTGTGTCTGTGTCTGGACTCAAGGTGGATGCTGGGTCTGCCTGGAAGGGGGTGGCTGGAAAGAGACAAGAAGGTGCTAGCAGGCGATGAAGGGCTGTGCTGGCCGGAGCCCGTCTAAAACCCCCAGCTCCGTTATCTCTTGGAGGAAGGAAGTAGAGGAAACAGGGGTCTTAGGACCTCAACCTGGACCCTGGGATCCTCAGAGCGGAAATGATTCCTAGAGATGGGCTTGTCCGAATCTCATGAGATCCCTGCCATCCATAGGGCAGTAAGTGCAGAAGGACGACCTAACTCTTCTAACTCCTTTCTTTCAAGGTTTTCCTCAAACCCTTTCCAATAGAGTAAGACAGACACTATTGTTCCTCTGCGGCTCTCTCCTGACCACTCCCGGGGATCAATCTGGGCTCCCCTGGCGTGAATATGTAGCCCACATCCCTTCTCTCGTTCACTCCCAACCCTCGACTTGGAGCCAGACCCAGACCTCAGGGCACAAGAGGCAAACAGCACTGAGCCCCGCCCCTTCCCTCTTCCACTCCAGCACGTTCTAGGAAAGACAGCACTCCTGGGACATTTTTAACTACAAGTCGTGCCTCAGGCTTAGTCTCAGGGAGAACAAGGAGATGGGCCAAGAGGCTAGCAAGGAGCAGGAGGATGGAACCGTCTACTCAGTGCCCCCTGCCCCTGTCCTCAGGACTCCCCACACATCCTACCAGGAGAGGAAAAGGCTGCAGGCCAGTGTCTGTCTTCCTGGATCCCTAAGGAATGGCACAAAGAGAAGCCACAGGTCGCCCCCTGGTGGGTGTTCTCAGCCCTGGCTGCTCTCCAGCTAACGCCTGGATGCTGTCCCGGAGA